CCCAAAATTAAATCTTTAAGTAAGAATCTAACAAACTATATAAAAGATCTATGTGAGAAGAAATACAAAACTCTGGTGAAAGATATCAAAGAAGAACTAAACAAATGAAGAGATATTCCACATTCATGAATAGGTAAACCCAATATTTTCAAGATGTCAGTTCTTCCTAACTTGATCTTAGATTCATTACAATCTAAGTCAAAACCTCAGCAAGTTACTTTGTGAGTGTCAGCAAAGTGATTCTATGGAGAGACAAAAGACCCAGAATAGCTAATTCAAAATAAAGTCAAGGACCTTCAGTACCCAACTCTAGGACTTACTATAAAGCTACAGTAATCAATACAGTGTGGTATTGGTGAAAGAATGGACAATTAGATCAGTGGAACAGAAATGAGAGCCCAGGAAAAAACCCACTGAGAGTTGACATGGAAGCAAAAGTAATCTTTTCAACAAATAGTGATGGAACAACTGGACATTCACATGCAAAAAACAAAAAACAAAAAACCCCCCACAACTATAGACCAAGACCTTAGATCCTTCACAAATTAACTCAAATGGATCACAGACCAAAATGTAAAATGCAAAACTATAAAGCTGCTAGAAGATAAGACAGATAGAGAAAATCCAGCTGACACTGTGTATGGCAATGACTTTTTAGGTACAATGCCAAAGTTAAAATCCACATACTCAAAAAATTGATAAGCTGCACTTCATTAAAATTAAAACCTTCTGCTCTCTCTTCTGCTTTGGATATTTATCTCCAAAATATCAAGAACATGAGAAGTCAAACCACAGACTGGGAGAAAATATTTTATTTATTTATTTATTTATTTTTAATGTTTATTTTTGAGAGAAACAGTGCAAACAGGGGACGGGCAGAGAAAGAGAGGGAGATACAGAATCTGAAGCAGGGTCCAGGCTCCAAGCAGTCACCACAGTGCCCCATGTGGGGTTTGAACCCATGAACCATGAGATTCAGACGTTTAACAACTGAGCTACCCAGGCGTCCCTGGGAGAAAGTACTTTAAAAAGATACATCTGATAAAGACTGTTATCCAAATTATACACAGAACTCTTAAAAGCCAACAATAAATGAACAACCAAATTAAAAAATGGATAAAAGGTCTGAACAGCCACCTCACCAAAGAAGATATACAGATGGGAGGTAAACATATAAAAAGATGCTCAACATCATATGTCATTACGGAATTGTAAATAAGAACAACAGAGAGATACCACCACACAACCATGTAGAATGTGCAATTGCTGGTGGACATGCAAAATGATATAGTCACTTTGGAATATGGTTTGGCAGTTTCTACAAAATGAAACATACTCTTATCATACAATCCAAACAATCATGCTCCTTTGTATTAATCCAAAAAAGTTTTAAACACGTGCACACAAAATCTGTACACAGATATTTATAGTAGCTTTATAGTAGCTATAGTAGCTTTATTCATAACTGCCAAAACTTGCAAGCAACCAAAATGTCCTTCAACAGGAGGATGGATAGTTTGCGGTACATCCAGCCAAAGGAATATTATTCAGTACTAAAAAAAATAAAAATTAAAAAAATAAAAGAGCTACCACGCCATGAAAAGACATTAGACAAAACTTAATGCACACTACTAATAAAGCCAATCTGAAAAGGCTACATTCTATATGATTCCAACTCTATAACAGTTTGGAAAAGGCAACACTATGGTGATAGTAGGAAGATTAGTGGTTGCCAAGGGTTATAGGAAGGGACAGATGAAAAAACAGAGCACAGAGGATTTTCAGGGCAGTAAAACTACTCTGTATGATACTACAATGGTGGTTACAGGTCATTAAACATTTGTCCAAATCCAGATAAAGTACAAAACCAAGAGTGAATCCTAATGTAAATAATGGAATTTGGATGATACTGATGTGTCAATGTAGGTGCATCAATTGTAACAAATGCACCATTCTGGTATAGGATGTTGACAGTGAGAGAGACTGTACATGTGTGGGTCAAGGAGTATATGAGAACTCTCTATACTTTCCATTAAATTTTGCTATGAAGCTAAAAATGCTCTAAAAAAAATAAAGTTCATTTTATTTTTTTTAGAGAGACAGAGCATGTGCACACCAGCAGGAGAAGAGCAGAGAGAGAGGGAGAGAATTGCAAGCAGGCTCCACACTCAGCACGGAGCCCAGGGCAGGGCTCAAGCTTACAACCATGAAATCATGACCTGATCTGACATTAAGAGTCAAGCTTAACAGGCTGAGCCACCCAGGCACCCCTTTAAAAAATAAAGTTTATTAATTTAAATCAATAAATAAAAATAGTGAAATTCAATGTATACATATAGCTATAAATGCTTGGGGTATTTTTCTTCCCTTTTAAACGCAGAACCCATTTAAAACCGAGATGAAACACTGACCCAGGGGCACCAGTCGGTTGAGCATCCGACTTCTGCCCAGGTAATGATCTCATGGTTCGTGAGTTCAAGCTCCATGTTGGGCTCTGTGCTGACAGCTCAGAGCCTGGAGCTTGCTTCGCATTCTGTGTCTTCCTGTCTCTCTGGCTCTTCCCAGCTCATGCTCACACTCTATCTCCGTCAAAAATAAATAAACTTAAAAACAACAACAACAACAACACTGACCCAAAATTTAAAATTTCCTCAAAAGTAATGAAGTATCTGGATAATATCATCCATATTCATTTATTTATTGAGTCCAAAATATGTACTGCAAAAATGACTTATTGAGGTTTGGGGTATAATCCTTGTAAAAAAGAAATTTCTTTGTACTAAATCAACCAATCAGCTTATACAGAAACTGAATTGGGGAGCTTGGCCTCACTAATGTTAACACTCTGACCAGTGTATAATCAGTATCCCAACAAGAAACAGATGGTATACATAAATTAGGATAATTTGAAGATGATTTATTCACAAAACTGTAGACACAATATAAAGGAACCATAAAACATGGTGCAAGTTCTAGGGGCCAGCAGCAATGGAGATGTCACTACACTGGACCCAAAAAACAACAAAAAGGTAAGTTACTGGAACCCAGAAAGAGAGCATTACACAGAGTAGGCCAGTTTGAGAGAACTAGTGATATACTGAGGGACAAGGCCACACTAAAGTGACCTCACATAGAGGGAATTCCCTGTAATTCACTCTCTTTCCTCCTATCTCCTGTCCAGGCTGCTTTCCACTGGCCCAACTCAACAGGAAGCCAGAAGATATGGGAACACAAATGGAATCCACATAGGTAAGCCTTACAAGGAGAAAAGGATGGATACATCTGAATCTGGAGGGACAAATGGAAGGTATTTTGCACATTGATAAATAATTACAAAGTGTAACTTACTAGTAAATATTTAAGTGGCACTCAGTAAATGTTAGTTTAGAGCATTTACTGAGCGTCAGTAAAGATAGGTATCTCTCTCTGTCTCTGTCTCTCTCTATACACACACAGACACACACACACAGACACACACACACACACACACACACACACACACACACACACACACACACACACAAATATAATACTCTCAGGGATAGGGAGGTGGTCCAAAGTGGCATTATTTCAGATGGGGCTTTGAAGGGAGTAGGGAAAGGAAACAAGAGGTCATTTGCTGAGAAAATAAGAATAAGGCCTTCCTACTTCTCCCTCCTCTAATACCAGTCTTCCCTTGTATGAGTGAAGGTATTTTTAGTTGCAAATAATGGAAAATTAAACTGGTCCAAACCAAACTAACTTAAATAATAATGGGGATTTATTGATTCACATAACTGAAAAGTCTAGAGGTACAGAATGGTAGGGTTGGTGGATCCAAGGACTCAAAAATGTCATCAAAGAACAGGTTTCTTTACTTCACACCAATCTGACATCCACATTGTCAGGTTCCTCCTTTTTGGTTTCTCATGTAGAGAAATGACTGAGAGCCACAGTGAGGGTTACATTCTTATTGGTTTATAGCCACTAGCTAAGGTCATCTGTCCACTTCTGAGCCAATGACTGTGATATGAGGAATAAAATATGTTTATGGCTTTATGCCAATTTAGAGTTCAATGTTCAAGTACTCCTTCACTCACGATACTCCAGGCATACCAGACTTCTCCAGTCCTTCACATATACTAAACTCTTTCCTATACCTAATCCTAGCCAAAAGTCTGAGAAGCTATTACTAAAAATCTTCCTTGTCTCAAGGCTTTTGCATATGCTATTCTCCTTGCCTGAAACATTTTTCTTTTCTCTCCCCTACCCCTTTACCACCAACATAATAAATTCACCTATTATAATGTCATCACATCCTTTACTTTTTCTTCATATCATTTATAACAGTTTTAAATTGATCTGTGTGATTATGTATTTTGTGTCTAATTCCTCCATTGGACTACAAACCTCAAAAAAGCAGCAAAATGTGTTATTTTCTTCAGACTTGTACCCGTAGTGCTACATTACATAGACTTGACACAATCAAATACTAAAGAATGAATGAATAAATGGTGCTGAGATCGACATATAGTAAATGTCTATTGGCTACTCATGTCACCATAAAAATGCATGCAACTGGTGAGAGTCAAACAATATTTTTTTAAGTTTATTTACTTTGAGAGAGAGAGCATGAGCAGGGGAAGGGCAGAGAGAGAGAGGGCAAGAGAATCCCAAACAAGCTCTGCACTGTCAGTGCGGCCCCAATGCAGGCCTTGAACTCACTCACAAACTGCAGGACTGGAGTTCACAAATCATGAGATCATGACTTGAGATGAAACCAACTGATGCTTAATCAGCTGAGCCACCCAGCTACCCCAAGGAACAATATTTTGAATGGTTTAGAACAAACTCATTCATTACATTTACAGGAATCATAACTCATAGTTTATGAATCTATATTTAAAACATTTTATTTTTCTTACATCAAAAAATATCTACCCAACTTTTTCTAGTAATATTTCATAAAACTAATTATTTTACACTGTAATTCTAATACTATGAAACTGTATCAATCATACCTTCTTTAAACTGCATATTTCAGATTCTTGTTTTTTATTTAAAGCTGAAAGTCTGTTGTTTAATTGTATTGCTTCCTGTACTGCAATATGAAAAACATTTAGAAAAATATTATATTTAACATACATTTTAAGGAAAGTATCACTACAATGGACAGTGAAAGCAGCCTCAATGCAATATATACAATTATTTTTGAACATAAATAATATTTATTAAAATGTTATTTACTATTACCAGTAGCAGATAATTTCAATTTCCTCATTATAAGTAAGCCCATTTAATCACTCCTATTAAAACCATAAGTTTAGGGGCTCAGTCGGTTGAACTTCCTACTTCGGCTCAGGTCACGATCTCACCGTCTGTGAGTTCGAGCCCTGCGTTGGGCTCTGTGCTGACAGCTCAGAGCCTGGAGCCTGCTTCGGATTCTGTGTCTCCCTCTCTCTCTAACTCTCCCCTGCTCATGCTCTGTCTCTGTCTCAAAAATAAAATAAAACATTAAAAAAAATTTTTTTAATAAAAAAAAAAAGTTTAAATAAGGTAACACCTACCATTTTGTTCTAATTTTCCATGATTCTCTTTTACCAATCCAAATTGACCTGTTATTGTGGCATAATATTTCTCAATTTCATTCAGTTGCTTCTGATGATCTTCTTTAGCCAGAAGATGTAACTGGACTTTTTGTTCCTATTGTGAAGTTATTTTAAATGTTATAAACCTATAATACACCCACATATATATACATACACATGTTTAAACATACATAAAAATGTACTGTTTTTAGTAACTATTGTTATGAAATAGGCCATGAAAAAGTGCTGAGAACACAACAAGGAGGAAATGTTAGGAGATATTTCTAAACCTGTGTAAAATTAAAGCACATTTATTTTTCTTGTAACAAAATGGTCACTTAAATTTATGCTGCCCCTATTTACAATTTCTTTTTAAAAAAGCAACTGGTTTCACTTATAGAAAAGATAATCAGTCCAAGCCAGCACTAAGCAAAATCACGAGAATATTGAAGTAATACTCTTTATAATTAAGGAAAAGAATTTGTTTTTCTAAATTTGGGGGCATAATTATGAGTGCATTATCAAAACTCAAGTATTTTTAATTTTAATGAGTATAGCACCTTCTCACTGCATTAAAAAACTGAATGATGAGGAGAGTCTGGGTGGTTCAGTTGGTTGAGTGTCTGACTCTTGGATTTGGTTCAGGTCATGATCTCACAGTTCATGAGTTTGAGTCCCACGTAGGGCTCGTGCTGATGGTATGTGACCTGCTTGGGATTCTCTATCTGCCTCTCTCTCTCTCTCTCTCTCTCTCTCAAAACTAAACTTAAAGAATTGAATGATGAGGATAATATCTATCAGAGGCAGGGAGGCAATACAGTATAGTAGAAAGTCTACTTAGCTGAGAGACACAATTGGCAAAAATTGGACCCAAGGTATAATATGGACCTTTACTACTTTCAGCTAAAGAAGATTGTTTTGTCACACTTAGAAATATGACTTTAAATTTTAAAAAGAGGGATTGCCTGGCTGGCTGGCTCAGTCAGTAGAGCATATGCCTCTTAATCTCAGAGTTGTGAGTTCAAGCCCCACATTGGGTGTGGAGTCTACTAAAAAAAAAAAGTCATTAATAAATTTTAAAAAGAAATATAAGGTTAATAGAATAACATTTTTTAAAGGTTTTGATCTTGACTTGGTACTAGTAGACTCACTTATTGGTTTCACAACTTTCCTTCATTTAGGTCACATGCTTCAGCACCTATGATGATAAGCAGTGATAAAAACCAGTGTATGTCTATGGACTGACACTCAGTAATTGTTTTATGAGTGAATTGTTGTTGTCCTCTGGGGCTCCAACAGTGAAAATTTGTTAGATATACCTGGCCAGTAGCTGTTTCCCCTATCCAATATTATCACAATTTCAAGTATTTACTTCAAATATTTCTTCCTCATTATAATCTAGGAGGATTAAAATTTGCAGGTTCTCTTCTCCCCTAGTCAAGTGAAGGGCATACTGCTCAAAATAAACCAACTGATTTCTACCTTTTTGGAATCTGAAACTCGAGCCAAAAAGACTATAAAACTAAAGTTTGGCAGTGATCCTATCCAGCTGATAAGACTTCTGTCCCGGGTTCCTACATCCTGCTTCACAAACTCTGGAATTACCCTGATCCCTGCTCTTTCTCAAACCCATTCTTCACTCTCCGATTGATTATGAATGCCTCCACTAAATTCTCTTTCGCATAAAATAAAGAGCCATTTCCTACTGCTTTAAAATCAAAGTACAGGCAGTATACTAGTCAAAAGCTAGTTGGCCTGTGTTTAAATCCTGCCTCTGTAATTTAGTTGCTGTGTGACCTTGGGAAATCTACCCTATCTTTAAAATAAAGATTCTAAAAGTATCTCCCAGAGAGGGTTGCTGTGAGGATAAAATGAAATAATACAAATAAAACACAACGAACAACGCCTGTCACTGAATAAGTACAATATGTTTTGTTATTACTCCTTAACCAATAAAAGTGCCTTCAATAGTTTTATTTGGAATAACATTAGCCCTCATATTAATAGAGAATACATAAATAAGTTGTACCTAACTGTATTATCTTGGCAAATTTGATAATAATCTTAACTTTTTCAAAGATACTTTTTAATGATTTAAAAAAAAATTTTTTTAATGTTTATTTATTTTTGAGAGAGACAAAGACAGAATGCAAGTAGGTTAGGGGCAGAGAGAGAGGGAGACACAGAATCTGAAGCAGGCTCCAGGCTCTGAGCTGTCAGCACCGAGTCCAATGCGGGGCTCAAACTCATGAGCTGTGAGATCATGACCTGAGCCGAAGTCAGACGCTCAACCGACTGAGCCACCCAGGCACCCCACTTTTTAATGATTTTAAGCAAAGTGATAATATCATTGGTAATGATCACAATGGATCAATTGAAAGTTTCTTATGCACTTCTATGGGCTCTTCAAATTCACTATGGAGTCATTTGAATTAATCACATAGCATTTATTAACGCAAAAAGCTGACAAGTATACTCACCCCAGAGATCTTATGTCTATCTGGGTAGTTACTATGATTAATAACTAAATAATGAACAATAATAAACCAAATTCCATTCCTCTAAAATATCACTTAATTGGGGCCCCTGGGTGGTTCAGTCAGTTAAGCACCTGACTTCGGCTCAGGTCATGATCTCATGGTTTGTGAGTTCGAGCCCTGCATTGGGCTCTGTGCTGACAGCTCAGAGCCTGGAGCCTGCTAAAGATTCTGTGTATCCCTCTCTCTCTGCCCCTCCCCCACTTGGGATCTGTTTCTTCTCTCTCCCTCTCTCTCAAAAAAAAAAAAAACATTAAAAAAAATTTTTTTAAAGACACCACTTAATTCTCTAATGTAGAGAATTATATTTGCTTTCAGAAGATGGGTAGAAACCTAATACAATTTCACTAAAATTAGTCTAAAAGCATTATTTTAATTCAAGGAATTTTTCTTTAAGTTTTTACTTTAATTCCAGTTAACATACAGTGTAACATTAGTTTCAGGTGTACAATAGTCACTCAACAATTCCATATATCACCTGATGCTCATCACAACAAGTGCATGCCTTAATCCATATCACTATTTCACCCATCCGCCCTACCCACCTCCCATCTTGTAACCATCAATTTGTTCTCTATAGTTAAGAGTCAGTTTTTTGGTTTGTCTTTTTCCTATGTTCATTTTATTTCTTAAATTCCACATATGAGTAAAATCATATAGTATTTGTCTTTTTCTGGCTTATTTTGCTTAGCATTATATTCCCTAGCTCCATTCATGTTGTTGGAAATGGTAAGATTTCATTCTTTGTTACGACTGAATAATATTCCACTGTGTGTATACACACAGACACATATATTAAATATATACACACACACCACATTTTTTTCTTTATCCATTCACCTATTGGTGGACATCTGGGTTACTTCCATAATTTGGCTATTATAAATAATGCTGCTATAAATATACAGGTGCATATTTCCCTTTGACTTTGTGGGATAAATAGCCAGTAGTGCAATTGCTGGGTCATACAGTAGTTCTCTTTTTAACTTTTGAGGAACCTCTGTACTCTTTTCCACAGTGGCTGCACCAGTTTGCATTCCCACCAACAGTGCATGAGTGTTCCCCTTTTCACCACATCCTCACCAACACTTGTTTCCTTTGTTTTTGATTTTAGCCATTTTGACAGGTGTGAGTTGATATCATTGTAACTAGCATTTCTCTGATGATGAGTGATGCTGAGCATCTTTTCATGTGTCTGTTGGCCTTCTAAATATCCTCTTTGGAGAAATGTCTGTTCATGTCTTCTGCCCATTTTTTAATTGGATTATTTGGTTTTTGAGTATTGAGATTTAGAAGTTCTTTATGAATTTTGGATACTCACCCTTTATCAGATGTATCATTTGCAAATATCTTCTCCCATTCTGTAGGATGCCTTTTAGTTTTGTTGTTTCCTTTGTTGTGCAGTACTTTTATTTTGATGTAGTCCCAATAGTTTATTTTTGCTTTTATTTCTCTTGCCTCAGGAGACAGATCTAAAAAAAATGTTGCTACAGCTGGTATCAGAGAAATTACTGCCTGTGGTCTCCTCTAGGATTCTTATGGTTTCAAGTCTCACATTCAAGTCTTTAATCCATTTAGAATTTATTTTTGTGTATGGTGTAAGAAAGTGATTCATTTCTTTCTTTTACATGTTGTACAGATTTCGGAACACCATTTGCTGAAGAAACTGTTCTTTTCCCATTTTCCCTGCTTTTATGCCAGTAACATACTGTTTTGAGTACTACTGCTTTGTAATAAAACTTAAAGTCTGGAATTGTGATGCCTCCGGCTTTTTCTTTTTCAAAATTGCTTTGGCTATTCAGGGTTTTCTGTGGTTCCATACACGTTTATAATTATTTGTTCTAGTTCTGTGAAAAATGCTGTTGGTATTTTGATAGGGTTACATTAAATCTGTAGACTTCTTTGGATAGTATAGACATTTTAATAAAATTTGTTCTGGGGTACCTGGGTGGCTCAGTTGGTTAAGTATCTGACTTTGGCTCAGGTCATGATTTCATTGTTCATGGATTCGAGCCCTGCATTGGACTCTGCACTGACAGCTCAGAGCCTGGAGCCTGCTCTCTATTCTGTGTCTCTCACCCTCCCTCCCTCAAAAATAAGTAAACGTTATGTATTTCTTCTTCTAATCCATGACCACGGAAATGTTTTTCCATTTCTTTGTGTCATCTTCAATTCCATTCATCAGTGTTTTATAGTTTTCAGAGTATAAGTCTTTCATCTCTTTGGTTGGGTTTGTTCCTAGGGATCTTATTATTATTTGTGCAATTGTAAATGGGGTTGTTTTCTTAATTTCTTTCTGCTGTTTCATTATTGGTATATAGAAATGTAACACACATTGATTTTCTATTTTGTGACTTTACTGAATTCATTTATCAGTTCTAGCAGATTTTTGGTGGAGTCTTTCAAGTTTCTACATATGGTACCCTGTCATATGCAAATAGTGATGGTTTTACTCCTTCCTTACCAATCTGGATGCCTTTTCTTTTTGTTGTCTGACTGCTGTGGCTAGGACATCCCACACTATGTTGAAGCAAAGTAGTGAGAGTGGACATCCTTGTCTTGTTCTTGACCTTAGGGG